CCAAAAACCAAATGCATCTTCTCCTCCAAACTCCTTTATTGTTATCAAAGGCAGCACCATCCTTACAGTCATTCAGGTTCACAGCCTCAGTCATCCTCAACTAAGAATCACAGACCATCACAGAATTTGAGAGTTGAAAGTTTCCTTAGCAGCCATTCACCGAAGGGATCCCCACAATAACATACCTCACAGGGGTCATCCAGCCTTCATTTGCTGACCATCAGGGGATGGAACCCAGAGCCTACTGAGGCATTTCAGTCCATTTTCCTGACATGTGGCCAAAAGTTGGCCCTGCTTACTGTTCTTAGTTCTACCTCTACAACCAAAGCATATCTAATCCCTTCTCTATGGGATAGCCCTTTGAGCACTTGAAGACATCTATCATGTCCTTCTTGAGGCTTCACTTCTCAAGGTTAAACATACCGAATTCCTTTAATAAAGCCTCCTTCATGTACACTGTTAACTAGTCAAATTGGCATTCTTGATGTTGCTAACACAGAACACTCTACCTTCCTCATTGCCATTTTTTTGCACAGGCTATATAGACCGCATCTCTGGAATATACTCCTCTGTTATCTCTGCCTCTTAGAATCATTAGGTTCTTTCAAGACTTAATTCAAGTACCACCTTCTACATGAAATCTTTTCTGATCTCCCCAGATGCTAGTGCCTCTCACCAAAAAAAAATATTACCTTACTGTGTGTGTATATTTCCATATTCTTAGATGTATATGTGTTGTTGCACATGGTGTCGTTGAGGAAAGGAACCTCTTCATTTTTGTTTTCATATCCACAGCTTCTTATGCAATATCTACCACATAGCAGGCACTTAATAAATACATGTTGATTAATCCTTATTATTGGTTTCCAACCTCCCAGAGTTACTAGGAGGAAATCACTTTGTAAACTGTAAAGTGCTACCTAAAAACTGGTTAACTGGGAATAGTATTCCTTCACAAAATCTCACTCCAGTAACTCATCATGGTTTAGAAATGACCGTATGTTCTCAAAGGCTATGCCAACATAGCAAAAGCTTTGGCAGGCTCTACTAATGTGAAAAGGCTTTGAGTATGGTCCCAGCAACAGACTAGACCTACTGTCTGAAATCAAGACTAGGTTCAGAGAGGTCATCAGCAGTAGGTTAGTTGCTCCAATAACAAGGATAGAGTAGCAAATAAAAAGGTCAGAGGGTGCTAAAAACCACAGCTTAGGGGTCATCTATAAGCATCAACTTATTTGTTAATCTACCTTTTTGTCCAGTGATCAACAAATGAAAATTCTGTTAGAAGAACTGAACCAGAGCAATATTGACATTATTTTGCTAAAGAAAACCAGAATGCAAAAATGAAAGTTGTAGCTAAAAGGTAAGGGGACTCACAAGTTTTCCTTGGAATTCAAAAATAAATCTCAGCAATAAACAATAGGGGAAGTATAGCTAAATAAGCAATTTCCTGGTGGATTTTAAGCTCAATATGTATGGTGTCACATAACTGCCAAAGTGGTTAATGCCATCTTGGATTACATTATCCAGAAGTAGGGACATGGTAGTTCCACTGTACTCTACCCTGGGCAGATGACTTCTGAAGTGCTTTGTTCAGTTTTGAACCACACATTTTAGGGAGGTCACTCATACTGAAAGGTGTCCACAACAGGATGAAGAGGATTTTGAAAAGTCCTAAGATCATGTAAGATGAAGGTCAGTTGAAGAAACTAAAGAAGAAAAGACTTACAAAAGCAATGAGAACTCTCTTCAAGTATATAATAAGCTACTATGGGTGGGGAAGGTATCATTCTGTCTGTCCCCAGAGAAAAGAACTAGTAGCAATAGGTGGATGTTTCAAAGAAGCATAGTTAGGCTTGATGTAAGGATGATCTTAATAATTAGAGCTACCTAAAAGTGAAATAGATTGCTTCAGCAAGTGGTGGGTTCCATCTCACTGGAAGAGGTCTTCAAGCTAAATCCAGGTGACTATAATCAGATACACTATACAAAAGATTCTTGTTAAGCTACTTGTTGGACTAGGTGACTGCTAAGGTCCGTCCCACCTCTTAGAGTCTGTGATTCTGTAAGGCTCTTCTTGAACCACTTTATCTTTATAGGCTCTTTCCCTTGGTTACCTATTTCATCAATTCCTATAGATTTAATTATCTCTGCACAGAAGACTGATATATATGTATATATATGTATGTATATATATATATATATGTATGTATATATATGTATGTATATATATATATACACACACATATATATGTATATATATGTATGTATATATATATATGTATGTATATATATATATACACACACACATATACATATATATGTATATGTGTGGGTGTATTTTTCTGTGCAGAGAGAGAGAGAGAGAGAGAGAGAGAGAGAGAAGACGGACCTCAATGGCCATCTAGACTAACACATTCCTAAATATTCCTCTCAGTGATATAAGGCTATAATTTTATAGTTAAATTAGATTCTTCCCTTCCTTCCCTATCTGCCTATGTTCAACTACTTTGTATATATTTGTACATATTAACTTATTATTTCCTCTCCTCTCCCTCATCTCTATACTGATCACTCCCAAATCTAGATATCCAGTACTTATATCTTTCTGAGCTCAGTGTGTAGACTATGATTGGTTGATATGGATTATTCAGGTGGAATTGTCCAGATAGTAGTCGAGGAAAGGAGAGGAGAGGAAATAATAGGGCCCAGAACCGTGTAGGGTATGCCCAGACAGAGGCAGGATGAGGATTCAACAGAAAAACAACTGAAAAGGAATGGTAAAAACAGAAAAGGAAACCTTACTGTATCTCTCTCTCAATCTCTCTCTCTCTTTCTGTATCTGTCTCTCTCTGTCTCTCTGTCTCTGTCTCTCTCTCTCTCTGTCTCTCTCTCTCTCTCTCTCTCTCTCTCTCTCTCTCTCTCTCTCTCTCTCTCTCTCTTTCTCTCCTTCTCCCTCCCCCCCCACACAGTAGGAGAGATTGGCCAAGAGAGTCTCTCAGATTAAGAAAGATGAAGACTATGAAAAGGCTACTAGTAGTCTCAGAAATACCAGTTTCAGGTTGGAAGTTAGACTGGAAAGGGTCAAGATATGATTAAGAGGTACAGAAGTAGAAATAATATGTGTACACATCTTTTTATAGGGGTGTAGATGTGAAAAAGGAGGAGAAACATGGGATTATTTTTTGTCCTAAGGATCAGGGAAATCTGAATGTCTTTGTAGGCTATAGAGAAGGAAGCACTGGAAAAAGAGGTGAAGGATCAGAAAGGGAGGGTATGATCAGAGGGCAAGTCTCATTCATGAAGATTTCCATCATCCTCTCCTCCAACCTTAATGACAATTATTTGTGCTCCTGCTTCCTTCAGGAGCAATGTAAGGGAAAACTTCCTAACAGAACTATCCAGAATTGGAATAGACTACTTCTGGAATTCTCCTTTCTTGGAAGTCTTCAGCAAAAGGTGCATGACCCCTTGAGGGAATTGTTCATTAAAGTGTTTACAAGAAAGCCTCTGACCCCTATTCCAGTACTCAGATTTTGTAGTTCTCTGATTTCACAAATGATGTTGTATTTACCTTATATGTACATGTTGCATACATCCCCAACCTTTATTTTCACTGCATTAGTAAGTAAGCGATTTGAGATCAGAGAATGTTTCATTTTTGTCTTTATATTCCTTGCATCTAACATCATACTCAGTTCATAGTAAGCACTTAATCATATTTGTCAAATTGAATAGAATTCCACAGAAGCCCTGCCCCTAGGAGCTCTGCCCAGTAGTCTGTCACAATGGAAATTTATCCAGTTTGCTGGACAGAGAGCATACAACCCCGTAAGTCATTGCTTCAAATGAAATTATTCCTACTATCTCTATAACCTTTAGTGCCTTCCTTCTGTGGGGCCGTTAGGTGGCATAGTAGATAGAATCTAGAATCTGGAGTCAGGAACACCTGAGTTCAAATACCATCTGGACATTCAACTATCTATGTGACTGTGGGCAAGTCATGTAACCTCTCAGCCTCAGTTTTCTATTCTGTAAAATGGATTGTTGTGAGGATCAAATGACAATATATGTAAAGCACTTTGTAAACTTAAAGCATGAGATATGTGCTACTAGTTATTATCTTCGATTTAACCTGTATCTTATTTGCACATAATTGTTTGCATGTTGTCTCCCTCATTAGACTGTGAGCTCATTGAGATTAGGAGACTATTTTTTTTTGCCTTTCTTTGTATCCCCACTGTTTATTACAATGCCTGGTCCATAGTAGGCCCTTATGTGTTTGTTGACTTAATTTGACATTCCTACAAATCTCTTCTTCATTTTAAACCTGTTTTTTTTCTTGAACCACCCCCTTTAGAAGTGAAGATATAGGGCAGCTAGGTGGCGCAGTGGAAAGAGCACCGGCCCTGAAGTCAGGAGGACCTGAGTTCAAAACCAGACTCAGACCAAACATTTGACACTTCCTAGCTGTGTGACCCTGGGCAAGTCACTTAACACCAATTGCCTAAAAATGGAAAAAAAAATTTAAAAAAAAAGAAGTGAAAATATGACAACAAAATCATTCATAGGTATACTCCAATATCCCAGACAAATAATTTGCTCCTTTTTTTGAACAGATGCCAGAGAAGTAATCCACCAGATCTTTGTTCAACTATTTTTATTGGCAGGAAGTCCTTTAATTCTAATTCTGTTTTCCCATAATTACGATTTGAAAGTTCCTGGCACAGAGATGTATGTGGTGACCAAAGATCCTTTCAGTCTTGAGTCTAAAATTTAAAGCCTCCATATCTCTATCTCACCAATAAACCACCAAGATAGGCACCTTGTCGCATGTTTCACTCAACTGATTGTTCCATTATAAACGTGCATATTAGGTTTTTGCTAAATGTTTTCCTTAAAGTTATCATTTCAAATCAGTTATAAACTGTTATTTTACAACTGCTATAAATCAAAGATTTTCCATGCTAACCATGCCATTTCTGTATGATTTGTTACAGGAGAAAATGACAGATACTGCTAGCAATTGCTCGAATAAAGAATATAGCTCATTAAAAAATCACACATGTGATGATAATAAGGTAAATATTTTTTTTCAGAGTTTATATGTCCTTCTGATTAAGTTCTCTAGAGACTTCTTTAGCTTATATTTTTAACATTAGTCTTATCAGGCAAATTGTTTAGTAAGCCTTATGGAATTTATCGTCTTAGACATATAATTCCCACAATTCTGTCTAAATGTAGTTTAGATTTATTTTGTAGTTCTAATTTATTAGTAGTCTTGTATTGAATGGGTAGAAATTTTGCTGTATCCCAAGTTACAAGTGTTTCACTTGAAAATACCGACAAGGAAGCATGTGTCTTATACTTTAGATTGTGCAGGACAATACTTGTGAGAGCAGCATGGTATGGCAGATAGAGTTTTTACTGGATTTGGAGTCAGGAAAATATGAATTCAAATCCTACCTCTTACACTTACAAGCTGTGTGGCCCTGGGCAAGTCACTTAACCTCTCTCAATCTGTTTCCTCATCAATAAAATGGGGATAATATAGCACCTACCTCACAGGGTTGTTGTGAGGTTCAAATAAGATAATACAGGTAAAGTGTTTTGCAGTCCTTCAAGTTTGTCGTTGTTTTTATCATTATTATTAATAATAATATTGTAGCTACCTATACATGCACACACAGATTTCATGAGTACAACTCAGATGCCTGCTTTTAAAAACTTTTCTCTGAACATCAGTTAACTTTTAAACCACTGTCTCCTCTAGTTGGTATAATAGTGATATTACTTCCAAAAGTGATGAACTTCTAAAGATCTGGTTTTTTAAGTACTCATTTTTTGTTGTTTTTTCTCAAGTCAGCATTGCTGAGTTCACTTCGTAAATCCTGTGTAAGATCTACATCTATATGCATCTTTCTTTTGTAAAGTTACCTGATTAAAATTTTCAACAATCTCATTTACAGTAGATTTGCACTATTACTTGATTATTGGAAGATCACTACTTGCATCTTAGAGAACTTAGAAATGGGAGGAGAAGAGTGAAGCTACTTACTTGGAGGACAGGAACCCAGTAGACAGAAGAATGCATCTCTTATACTGTTACTGCTTCCCAAAGTTGTCTTTGGACTACAGTATTTTAAAAATTAATAACCCAGTCATTTGATGACTCAGATTAATCAACAATACTTTGACTTAGGGAAACTTAATACTGAAAAATTTATTTAAGTATTGTGTAATTATTAAATCAATTTGGAAGGACTGCCTGCTGCTGTCTACTGAACAGGTAGTTTTAGGAGTTACATGTTTTAGTGGAATAAAGAATAAAAGTAGGGGAAAGTCATCACTAATTGCTAGAGGTTTAGGCTTCAAAATCTTTAGCGGAACTAATGACTTCTGAGGACTGAAGGTAAATGACAGAACTTTTCCATTTTCTCTTTAATAGGAAGTTATGTTTATAGTTCATGTGACATGTAAGTTGAAGCAACTTGTGAAGGCTAATATCAGTGAGAACTTTAATGGTTACTTAGAAGCGTATTCACATCATGCATTAGAGATGCTGAAGGGATGCAAATGTGATGAGGTAAGTTGAGTGATATCTGTTTTTATTAATGAAAGAAACTGCCCCTCAGTAGTAGAATGCGGCCATACTCTAGATCTCAGACACTTGCTCAACGAGCATGGTGTAGTGAATAGAATGCTGGTTTGGAATCAGCTAATAAGTGGTAGGGTCAGCATTTGAACTCAAGTCATTCTGATTCCCACTCCAGCACTGTATTCACTACAACATACGCAGTTCATTCTATAATACATTATAACTGATTCTACAATACATGTAACTTAACTAAGTTTGGTAATTATCACATATGAAGTAATCTAAAATACTTTTAAATGCACATTTAGGTGGCATTTGGAGGATATAGTGTATGTGTACTTATTTACATCATTTTTGGTATACATAAGCTAGGTGTGGGTAGATCTCATTTTTCCTGATTTCCTAAATGCTTCTTTGGCACTAATCTCAATTACTCCCTTTACTACCCTCGTATTACTTAGTACTACTTGCCAACAACTTTTGATACTTTTTTCCCGTTGTTTTAAACTTTTTAAGGAATGTTTTCACATTTCAAGTTTCAGAAAACTACAACTCCTCTGTAATATGATCAGGGCATGTTAGGTAAAATTTCGATGTGAGGACAACAAAGATGGCATGAAAATATTTTTGTGGGTACAATGTATTTTAACTGGCATTATCTGAGCTCAGATAATAGTTAATGGAAAATCATAGGAAAGATTTTATTATGTTGGCACATTCTTTGTCCTTGCATTTCCATCCTATCTGTCCTGAGATATGAATATATAGCAGATTCACAGAATCATGGATTTTCAGTGTTGGTGGTTACCAGAGAGGTCATCTACCCCAACCATAGTCAAAAAAGAATTACCAGCACAAACCCACCTGAGTGAATTGTACAGTATTTGTTCCAGTGACTGGGCCTCCAGTAACTGGGAACCTAAAAAGGAAGTCCATTCTGCCTTCAGAGAGCTTATTATTAGAAAGTTTCTTATTGATATCAGTTCTAATTGTACCTCTTTGCATTTTCCTCCCCTTTAGTCAGCCCATCTTTCCACTTTTTTGTAGTTCTGCTTTCTAGGCCAAAACAGAACAAGTCTAATCTCTCTTCCCCCAAGATCTTGAAGGCAGCTGTCATGCCCCACCCTACCCCACCCCCAAGCCTTTGCTTCACAACTTCATTTCCTTCATCAGATCCTCATATATGATGGATTTGAGGCCCTACACCACGCTGGTAGCCTTCCCCTGCGTGGCCTTCAGCTGTGGTTTAAGAACTTGATAGAGTACACCAGATACCTTGTGACGAGGGCCGAGTAGAATTTGACTGCCACTTTCTTATTACTGGAAGCTTTGTCTCAGGTCTTCAAGCCAAAATTTACCTAGGCGTTTTTTGGCTGCCAAGTCTCAACAATGACTCATTTCAATCCACTAAAACCCTCAGATCTTATCCAGACTGATTTCCATCACGTTCTTATGAAATCAATTTCTTGAAAATAAATGTAAGACTTCATATTTATCTCTATTAAAATTTTATCTCATTTGATTCATCGCCATGATCCAGCTTGTCAAGATATTTTCAAATCCTAACTGTCATAGTGTTAACTATCCTCCTAGTTTTGCTTTGTCTGTAAATGCGATAAAGAATGATATCTGTGATATTATCTAAATGATTGGTAAAAGTGTTAAATAACAGAAGGCTAAGTACAGATTACTTGAACACTAGAGATTTCCTGCAAGTTCATATGGAATGATTGATAACTGTTCCTTGGGCCTGGCCATTAAACCGGTTCTGTCCATCTAACTGTATATCATGTAACCCATACCTCTGCATGTTTTCCACAAGAAAAACATAAGATTGACTTCCAGTGCCAAGTTGACAGAGTGAGGAAGGAACCCTCTGGAGCCCTCCCAAATTCCCCTCCAAACAATTAGAAAGGCACCTCAGAATTGATCTAGGAGCAGGGAAGAAGCTTGCTGGCACATCAAGAAGGATTGATCTCATTGGGGTCTGAGGGGAGCAAAGTCCAAGGGCAGCAGGGGGCCTACAGCAGGGCTTCAAGCCTGGGGCAGTCCACTGAGGAGGCCCTGCCAGATCAGCAGTCCCCTGGGCAGGTGAGCAGTCTGAGCAGCACAGAAAGGCCTCACCCCAGCAACCCCACCCCCAGTACAAGTCCCACTGACCCCACTGCTGAGCAGTAATGAAGCCCTGCCCCAAGGCTAGCCAACAGCAAGACCCCACCTGTAGGGCCTGCTAGCAGAGAGACCCTGTTTCCATAGCAATCCAACAGAAAGGCCCCATCCATGGGCAGGCCAGTGGCTAAACCCCACAGCCAAGGGAGGCCAACAGGTAGGCTCCAACCCCCAGTACAAGCTTTCTAGAAAGGTAACCTACTACTCTCCAGTGAAAGCAAACAGCTAAGCCCTGAAGCCCAGTGACAGCCAGCAGTAAGACCCTGAGCCCAAGCACAAAAAGCTTTGGACAGTGTAGGACCAGAGTCCAACTCTCACATGAAAACAGCAAGTCACAAAAAAGTCAGAAAAAATGAACAACAACAACAAAAAAGAACTTGACTATAGAAAGTTACTATGGTGACAGGGAGAACCAAAGCATAAACTTGGAAGAGAATAATAGTGTCAAAATGACTATATGTGAATCCTCAAAGAAATGTAATTTGGTCTTAGGCCCAAAAAGAATTCCTAGAAGAGCTTAAAAAGGACTTTTAAAAGCAGATTAGAAATGTAGAAGAAAAACTGGGAAAAGAAATGAGAGTAATGCAAGAGAATCACGGGGAAAAAAGTCAATATGGAAAAAGACATAAAAAAATTTACCAAGAAAAATAACTCCCTAAAAAATAAAACTAGCCAAATGTAAAAGAAGTACAAAAGCTCATTGAAGAAAATAATTCCTCAAAAATTAGAATTGATCAAATGAAAGTTAATGACCCTATGAGAAATCAAGCTATAATTAAAAAAAAATTTAAATAGTTTAAAAAAAGAGAAATTGTGAAATTTCAACTGACATAGAAAATAGATTCAGGACAAATAATATAACAATTACTGGACTACCTGGAAGACATGATAAAAGAAAAGCCGGGAAAATATCTTCCAAGAAATTAGCAAACTGCCCTGATATATTAGAATAAAAAGGCAAAATAGAGATTGAAAGACTCCACTAATCACCACCTGAAAGAGATTCCAAAATGAAAATTCCCATAAACATCATGGCCAAATTCCTGAGCTCACAGTTCAAGGAGAAAGTACTTCAAGCAGCCAAAAAGAAACAATTCAAATATAGAGGAGCTACGGCCAGGATTATGCAGAATTTGGCAGCTTCCACATTAAAGAACCACAAGGCTTGGAATCTGATATAATGGAAGGCAAAGGAGTTAGGATTACGACCAAGAATCATTTAACCAGCAAAATTGAATATAATCTTTCACGGGGAAAAATGGCCATTTAATGAAATAGAAGACTTTCTTGCATTCCTAATTAAAAGACCAGAGCTGAATAAAAAATTTGACCTCCAAATGCAAGACTCAAAAGAAACATAAAAGGGTAAAAAAGAAACAAGAAGACAAAATATAAGAAATTCAGTAAGATTAAACTGTTTACATTTCTATACGGCAAGATAATATTTGTAACTCTTAAAAACTTTATTACTATAAGAACAATTAGAAGGAGTATATATAGACAGAGGGTATGGATATGATGACTTTGATGGGATGATAGCACAAAAAAAAAAAGGGATAAGAAAGAAAATTGTACCGGAAGGAGGAGGGAAATTGAATGGGGTAAATTATCCCACATAAAAGAGGTATAAAGCAGATATAATAATGGAGGGAAAGATGGCGGGGAGGGGTGATAGGCAAAGCTTAAACCTTACTCTTATCAAAACTGATTCAAAGAGGGAATAACATGCATACTCAGTTCAATATAGAAAAATGATCTTATCCTCTGAGGAAGTAAAAAAAAAAAGGATAGGCATAATAGAAGGTGGAATATATATTGGGGAAAAGAGTGATCAGAAGTAAAATGCTAGAGAAAAGGGAAAGGTGGGGGGATAAGACAGAGAGGAAGATAAACAAGCGAAAAATAGCATAAAGAGAAATGCACAGTTATAATAACTATAAATATGAATGGGATGAACTCACCTATGCAATGGAAGATGATAGCAGAATCCTACAATATGTTGTTTACAAGAAACACATTTGAAGCAAAGAGATACGCATAGGGTAAATGTAAGGGACTGGAGCAGAATTCATTATGCTTCAGCTAAAGCAAAGAAAGCAGGAGTAGCAATCATGATTTCAAATAAAGCAAAAGCAAAAATAGATCTAATTAAAATAGATAAAGAAGGAAACTATATCTTGCTGAAAGGTACCAAAGACAATGAAGTTATATCAGTACTAAATATATATACAACAAATGGTATAGCACCTAAATTTCTGAAGAAGTTGAATTAGTTGCAGGAAGAAATGGATAACAAAACTATACTAGTGGGAGACCTCAACTTTCTCCTCTCAGAACTAGATAGATCGGGGCACCTAGGTGGCACAGTGGATAGCCTCCAGCCTTGGAGTCAGGAGGACCTGAGTTCAAATCTGACCTCAGACACTTGACACTTACTAGCTGTGTGACCCTGGGCAAGTCACTTAACCCAAATTACCTCACAAAAAAAACCAAAACAAAATTAAAAAAACTAGATAAATCTAACAAAAAAAAAACAAGAAAGAAGTTAAGAAGATGCATAAAATTCTGGAAAAGTTACATATAATAATCTATGGAGAAAACTGAACAAGAATAGAAAAGAATATATACCCTTTTCTCAGTAGGTCATGGCACCTACACAAAAACTGACCATGTATTAGGATATAGAAAACTCACAACCAAATGCAGAAAAGCAGAAATAGTAAATGCATCCTTTTCAGATGATAATGCAATAAAAATTATATTCAATAATGGACAATGGAAAGAGATTAAAATTTAATTGGAAATAGAATAATCTAATC